GTCTTTTATCATTACTGAAAGGATGGCCTGTATGATAAGGCACTGGGCGCTTGCTGACAGTGTGGGGTGTGACCATACATTCAAACTTACTGATACTGTCCCGCCGACACCTTTCTGTCAGTAAATACCGCCTGAGGCTTAATAACTTAATCTGATGCAAACGCTCATTTAAATCACTAAAATGTCAAGCCAGAAACATTATGTAAAGCCAGTTGGGCCGCTTTTACTATGCCAATGAATAAAAGCTTAGCAAAAGTTTGTCAAGTAAATAGGGTCAATGACATGCTAAAGAAAAAATAAAATATATATATTTTTAATTCTAACACATCTAGTTTTAAATGCATTCAAGATGTTCTCTTTGTATTCATGTTGGTTTCATATAGTTTTAAAAAGCATTTTCAAGAAAAGTTGAAACTTAATTTGTTTAAAAATATCAAGTGGTGTAACTATCAAATAAAACATTCTATTCATCACAGTTTTCAACATTGATAATTACAAAAAAAAAATTTGAGCACCATATTAGAATGATTAGTATATTAGAATATCAGCATATTAGAATGATTTCTATCCAAGATGATAGAATGATTTAGGTTCTGGTCTAGGTTATGATCTAGATTCTTCTTAGGATCATGTGACACTAAAGACTGGAGTAATGGCTACTAAAAAAAAAAATCAAGTTTGCCATCACGGGAATAAATTATTTAATCATAAATAAAAATACATTAAAATAGAAAATAGTTATTTTAAATTGTAATAAAAATTCACAATATGACTGCTTTTACTGTATTTTTAACAAATAAAAGCAGCCTTAATAACCATAAGAGGCTTTGCTCAAAAACATCTTACCGTCCATAAACATTGCACCGGTAAAACTAGAAAGAGTTTGAAAATGTGACATTCACATTAAGCCAAAAAGTTTATAACCTAAAAAATGACCACATACAGGTATCACTGCAGTCAAAACAGACAAAGCTGCTTACAACAAACCCCATGGTTGTTTGACAGGGGAGCAGTCTATTCTCAAATGTCAGCTAATAAGTCATGTGTACAGAGTCTAAGACCAGAGTAATGGTACTTAAAACACTGCTATCAGTCCATATATCATCTGACAGCATTCTGATCATTCAAAGCAAAGCACACATTTCTTATTTTCAACACGGATCCCTGAGGATCAACCTAAGAGCATCTTTCATATTACTGTCCCATTTGCAAATACTTGGAATCAGAGCCGGGTCTAGGGGGGGCCCCAAAAAAATGTCCAGCCAAAAAAAAAACCAAATAAGCATTAAACACTTATTATTTGTACTATCTAAATAAGGATCAGTCACTTTGTTCAAAGGAAAAAATTTACAATTATGTACATAATACACAGACACAAAATGCAAGACTGAAAATTGAGTAAATAAAAGTAAACTATGAATATATTACCCTAGAAAGTGCTGCCCTACCACAATTTCTGATTGCCCCCCCAGTCCAGCGAGCCTAGTACCGGGCCTGCTTGGAATCATGACATGAATCCCACATTACAGACAGCACAAAGAGCTTTGGCTTTACAAGGTCAGTAAAATCTACAGCTCTGTTTATTCATCAGAACAATGACACGTGCAATGCATATGGATTGACATAAGTCAGTCACACAACAACTGACTGTACTGGTTTGGTCAAACCACAAAGGAGAAACGCTCATTTATGACATGTCTCCATTCAAACTGAACACAACTGTTTTTTCATAAGGAAAAACAGGAAATTGGCCATGTAATTCAGATAGGCCTACTCAACGGAAAGTAATTCAACTTGGGGTTTAATCATTCGAAGACTGACATAGAGGAATTTAATCACCATACACAACACTGATTGCCCAGGAGTGGCTTGAAAACATCATCTCTATTTGACAAGATGTCTATCACCCAATACTGGATACAAAGGAGAAAACAAACAAACAAACAAACAAAAAAATAATAGGCAGTGATAGTCCAAAAGTTCAGCAATTGAAAATAATCAGCCAAAACAGCAAAAAAAAAAAGGTTGTTAGCATCCATTTCATGCCCACAACAGCGACAAAAGGTAAACAAGTTGGCAGTGTGGACGCACTTCATTGTGACCAAAAATGATGCTAGAGAAGCAATGTGTAGAAATTTGTTCAGCTGAAAAATCGAAAGGAGGCTGAAGAACTTTACTATGACTGGTTTAATGCAGCACCTGAGAACATACCCTGAACATCATACCGAGTTCAGTTACTTAATCACCCAAATTTTATTACAAAAATTTTATTTTTTGGTTTCAGTTTCCGGCTAAATTAACACTTTCATTTCAATAAAAACAAAAATCACTTTTAATGCATTGCTAATAAACTGTGTACTTTAGGTATCAGGTGGGAACCCATCCAATCAAACTAATACTAGTCTAGCTGGTATCCAAAGACACATAAAGGTGCGGCCATCTTCACCGTTGCTTAGTGAAATTTCATGAACGAGTTTCACGTGTGAATAAAAAAAGTCTTCCATGCAGATTTTGCTATTTTCAAGTTGGTCATATAATTTTCCACGCTGGTCAACAGGTTTTAAGTGACTTCTGTGTGAGCTTTCCTTTTTATATGCTATTGAGAACAGACAATGGACATTTTTTGTCCGCAAGATTTTGCAGAAATTTTGCTAACTGAATCACACCTTAATTGTCAAAAACTTAATATATTTATATTATTTTTGGAAAAAGACTGCAAAGTCGAATGATGACCTAAAGCATCTTTTTTTTCTGAGATGCACAAACTTTCTTAAAGTTGTTTCGATCAGCCCCTGAAATTCTGAGATTCTCAACAACAAGCTTATGAACAAAACTGTACATCTGCAATAGCTTGCTCTTCTGGTTTGTGATTTCCTTACTACTGTCAGTAATGTTTAGTTATTCAAACCAAGTTATTTAAAGATAAAATGCCTTCTTTTAAGGCATTAACATTACCTGTTTTCGAACAGGTTTCCTAAACACTTCCCCCATCAACCATAGTCGGAACAAACATATAGTGTCGCCCAGAACCATTGGCATTGTTTGAGCCCAAGGCATTGTTGGAGCCAATCTATTTTAAATTAAACAGAACAATGTGCCACAGTATTTACACCTCATCAGGGAAATTATACGACGAATAGCTAAATTATAGTTGTCTCTGTTTATTAAGCTGGGATAGGAGAAATTTTAACATCTTAAAAAAAAAAAATTCTAAACAACAATGTACATGCATAGGCACGTTTCTAACACTCATGTGAACAAAACCCATTAGATGGTCTTATCAGCGTACACAGTAATACTCGGTTTAGGGAGTGGTCTAATATTACATTACTTTAAACCTACCATTTTTCATAAGGTCAGTTCAACAGGTGAGCTGCACACTAGTGTTATGTTCAAAATATCGATACGACGATGTATCGTCACAGAGATTTGACGATACGTTGTATCGTGATACGTATCATATTGTGACTTTGCTGGTGATACACAGCCCTACTGCACACTACCACAAACACTATGAGGATCCAAAAACCAAGTGTTCAAGTACTGATGAAGTGTTTAGCAGTTGTATGAGTGGGGTTGAAACTCCAGAGTAGAGCGGTGAGGGTGCAAAGGCCTCTCATGAGCTCCTGCTGGAGTTGCAGTGCTCAGCACTCCACGTGCTCCCGTGCAACTCGATCAGATGGGGTGGGGAGAGGGGTTAAATCTGCCCACATCAGCAAGTCTGAGTGACCAAATACACCCAAATGATCGAGGCACACACGGGTCTGTCGTTAGAATCAAGTGGGAATGGGCGTTTTTGATGGGCGTTCATTCCCACTACCACCATATTTGGTCACATCACAAATGGAAAAAAAAAAAACTCCGGGCTTCCTGACAACAACATGTTTAACCTAACTAAAACGACTTAAACTAGCCCAAAACCTATTACAACAATCTCTATAAGTACCAACGAGTAACATGATACGGACAGGTTCTTATATGTGTGTTTTACGTATTATCTAACTTTTATCAACAGTCGTGTTTTTAATCAGGCGAGCCAGGACAGCACAGCATATGTCAGCCAAACCACAAACGAGGCTCCGAGACTAAAAGCCTAAAACACTGCAATAACAGTTACAACCACGTATAGAGCATTTCACATGTGTGAATAAAGCAGAGTAGTTTGACTTTCATTGCTTTATACCGCTTTAGAGGATTAAACGATCTGAGGTGTTAGCGCGTTGCTAAACAGTGATGTCCGATTAACATGAATTCTTAAGAGTCGGATCTTTTCAATGAGACCAAAGCGATCTCTGAATTGTTTACGAATCATAATGTTACAAATAAAGCGTATTGGAAATATGTTAACGGCTTTATCTAATGCCAGTTTTATCAACGTGCGTACACACAGTAATTCTAGAACTGATTAATGTAAATTCTAATTATAGTTTACTGTTTGAACCCTTTATTCAGCTCATAAGAACAAACTAAACTGTGATTAATCAAGTTACAATAAACACTCTTAATAATAAAACTTTAATGAACAGCAAATGTCCACATACGTTTTTATTCAAATGTTTTAGGGCATTATGTCACGCCAGGTTGCCAAGGACGACGTTATAACGTACAACAATGGCTGAATCACTTAATCAAACAAACTGCTCAAAAGAACCGACTCGGTGAAATGAGTCGGACGTCCCATCACCGGTGCTAAAGCTAACAGACCACGCCCCCGCCACTGACTGGTCCGTTTCTCTGACCATGTATGAAAAACACACTTTACGGATATGGGCACAAAGTTTATGAATTAACATAAATTGAGAGAATAGCCGCAGTTATCATATGTTTCAAAGCACAGGTGCACGATCACGCGAAAAAGGGCATAAAAGTGAACTGACAGGAGTTTAATGGCCGCTCCTGTTTGCAGTAGCACATGCGAGCTAACAGAGCAAATGTGTGAATGAAAATAAACGCTGTTGGAGGCATAAATATGTGTGCTGTTGTGAGCATAAACTCGCTACCTGTTTGTAGCGAGCTGTTGGTGGTATTATTAGGAGGGCACGCGTTCCTCTTCGTCCACGGGTTCACTTTTGGCGGAGGAGCCTCGATCACTTTCTTGGCAGTTTCTGCTTTGTGGCTTGATGCATTCTGCTCGTTCTCCTTGTCGTTCGTGTTGTCCGTGCTTAACCCATCCGCTTTACTTTCCATGACCCCTTGTTTTTGATGTTTAGAGTCGACCTGAGGAGGATCCTGCTGTCCCTCCTCGTGGCTCGCTCGATCAGGTCTCCTGGGTCGATCCGTGTCCGACTTGTTTTGGTTCCCTTCGCCCAAACAACTGACTGTCACGTCCAAGTCACTCGCAACTTCTGTGGTCATGGTTCAAAAGCACAAACGCCCTCGCGTTGTTATTTTTCACTATCTTGCAATAGTTATTTTCCAGCGCAAACGAAGAAAAAGACTCGGTCAAAGCTGTTGCAGCTAGAGCACAAATTGACAGCCAGCAGCTTGAAACACGGCGGAGAGCTGCATCGGACTTTTTCGTGTTCTTAAATGTCAAAATGCTCGATCCCTTAAAGAAGCCATGTTGTGCGATCACACTCACCGACTACAGTAAGCCAAACGAAAATAATAAAAACGTTACCAATGTTTTCGACCCACTCCTCGATTTAGCCGATCTGCAACCCACCTAAATATTAAAAGGAAATACTACGAACGGCCACGAGTCATTGGACGAGTGTGTGGCGTCTCTCTGTCGCCCCTCGCGGCCACACGGCGGTACTGCAGAACAGTAGAACGTTGTTTATTTCCAGAATATCTGGACTTGATAGCTTGGTCCCATACTTTTACTTTACTTTACTTTTAGTCATTTAGCAGATGCTTTTATCCAAAGTATATATATGTATATTCTTATACAAATAAGAAAAAGTAATTAAAATTAAAAGCTAAAACTCTATAAATACTATATATATACACACATTTAAGAAAATAAAAGAAATTAAATAAAAATGACAAATGCATACAACAACATTTCAAAACTAAAACATTTAAATGAAAACAAAAAAATAAAGCTAAAAACAATTCAAACATACACAAATAAGAAAAAGTAATTAAAACGAAAAGCTAAAAGCTTTTAAGAAAATAAAATAAATTAAATAAAAATGACAAATGCATACAACAACATTTCAAAACTAAAACATTTAAATGAAAACAAAAAAATAAAGCTAAAAACAATTCAAAAATATTAAAAGAACAAAAGGTATGAGTATAATAATGATTCTAACATAACACTAAGCCAAACACCAAAAAACAACTACATATGTGTATGTACAGCCACACACATATACATATACATATACAAACTAAAAAGTTTAAACTAAAACAAAAAGTTTTAGTTTATTTTAAACGAAAAATAAATTTAGTTTGCCATACCGCACCAAAGTATGACTGACCATTAATAGCAGCTGTCAAATATGTTTTTTTTTTCCAATATATTTTTTCAATATATATATATATATATATATATATATATATATATTTGCTTGTTTTGCTTTCAATGTTTTATAATCAATGTTTTATAATAAAAAAATCAGATTGTATGTCTATACCTCACGAAATACCTACCTATTTCATTTGCAAATAAATAAAATAAAATATGTTGGCCAGTAAAGTTCATGTTTTAATATTATAAATTACTGTCATTTGTTTTCTCTTTCTGAGCTGAGATTATAAAATTATAAGTAAAACTTTTCCCCTTTACCAAAGGTAGAAGAAATAGTTTGATTAATCCTTTTTTTCTGATGGTCGATATTAAAAAGCAGCTTTACCTTGTTTAATTTATGCTATGCAAGTTCATTGTACAATACATTACTTCTATGAATTCAAGCAATTTTCTTTGTAATTTCTGTTAAGAGGTTTAACGTTTGTTTGGGGCTTGTGTTGTCATGGTGGCTTGTTTTTCTAGCGCGATCTGGCAACACTGATCAGAGGCAGTCTGACGTGGCGTTTCCCCCAGTCAACACAGTCACAGACTTACAAAAACTTTAAAAAAAACATAAAACGAGATATAACAGATTTCATCAACTGGTTTAGACTGTTTGCCAAAGTACAAATACGTTTACAGATAGATGTTATAAGTAGCACGTGAACTGGGTATGGTTGAGCATCACACTGAGGGCACAACAATAACAACTAAAGTCACTGTTTATCTATCAGAATTTGTGCTATTTATGGAAGAAGACAGATGAAATTAACAATTATTGTGGATGTAACCCAAGATGTTTTGGAAGAAAATGGTAATAAAAATATTTTTTAAATACACCACCAGATGGGGTTCTTTCACAAAATAATGCCACTCCTTTTTAGTTTGCTCCAAATTACTAAAATACATCTCGTGATATGATTAAAACTATATTAACATATAAATTATATTTTACTTCTTGTATTGCAAAACAAAACTGGTGTGACTGTTTTTGTTATAACAAATGGGAAATACTATTAAAAAAATGTCCATACAAGTAATACAATTAGCTAACAAAGGTCTCTTTTTCCTTCTGAAGCAAAACTACAGGCAAATTATTTCTCATTTATGCACGATTTTTTCCCCTAAACAAAGAAATAATTAACAACTGGTCATGAGTAATTTGTTATAAGCCAGTTGTGAATCACTTTTAAATGATTCTAAATAACATATGGTTAATAGACATTACCTTTGCTTTATTCAAGTAAAATTGTCCAAAAAGACGAATATTGATAATTTATAACTATACTCTCCTAGAAGATCATAATGTCATTAACTGAAATAATATGTAATCTCGTTTCTGATTCAACATGGACAAAGAGCATAGTGGTCATAAGACATCTTCCTTAAAGGCACAATATGTCATTTTCGCCGCTAGAGGGCGCGTATTCAAAATAAACAAATAGACAAAGTCGTAGTTTGATGACGCAGTGACTGAGTGTGGAATCATGGGAGTTGTCGTCTTCATCCCCACAGCCGATGCAATCCGACGGGACTCGGGCCGAAATCATGTTCATGGATGAGCTAATGATTTATTAAGGTAGTAGAATGAAGCAGGGTGAGGCTGAAAGCCGTCGAAGCGAAACAAGGCCGCTGAACGAGCGCGACACACGGCTCGAAAGCAGCGGAGCTTTTATTATGCCACAGTCGACCGCTTCCGCTCCTTCCGGTCGTGCTTATGTGGGGAAAAAAAGCAGCTTACTAGATACATTTGAAAGTTCTGTTATAATGCTACTCTGTGGGGTCGTCACCGGTCTATGTAAAAGAAAAGCAGTGCAGGGATAATGCTTGTGTAACACCCTCAGATGACATGAAATGTTGTCAGGTTTTTCAGTTCGCCTCCTGTTGCCACACTTAGTAACTACAGTCTAAAATGTTCAGTTGAAGTGTTTCATTGAAGAAATTACCACTCATTAAATACAATGGCAGATGAATGAAAGACGATCTTATAAAAAACTGAATCCACTAATACATTACAATCATGTATTTAAATAAGCAGTATATTCATTATCTATAATTATGAGGGTATACACTAGACATAAAGTAATCTCTTTGAAGATGTTCAAACTGATGTTCATGAAAATTCACATTAAATAAGTTACTCATAATCTATCACATTTTATACACAATATGGTAAGGAACAAAAAGGTCCAGAAAGCTTGAAGAGAGCTAGAAGATGATGGTTCTTTGGATCTTTTGTTTAGATAAGTTATGATATACCATGTTGTTCAGAGCCCTTTAGTCAGCTCTTTGTGACCTGTCACAGTATAATGAAAAGAATTAACTGTGGAGAAACTTTAGTTTTGCCGTACCCGCCCCAGAGATGCTGTTAGGTAACATTTCATAATTCATTATGACATCAGTTCCATCTCATACTTTTTGAGACACATAGCAAACCCAAACATTACTGTAATAAAAGGTCCAAACAAATCACTCCTGTCACTACGGCATACTCACACTGGCATATTGAATACATGTGGACAATTTGGATGAAGAATTGAATGCAATAAGCATTAAAACTCAAGCATCTTTCTCTTACCAATAATTTTGTATCAGTTCAATGGACGTTCAATGAAGATAATCCTAATGTAAATTCGAGGGTCAAACCACAACAACACCAAGAGCATTGAGAGAAGGTATTGGTATTTGGCCCTCTGCTGGCCAAAAAAAAACAAAAACTGCTGATTGTAGCTGGCTTTAAACTTGTATCTCCTTTTCGAACCATCAAGGTCACTCAGCTAACTGAAACATACGACAAACAAACCATGATAAATTCTTACAAACATTCTATTCAAAGACGACAAAAAAAACTTAATACTCATTGTATTCTTTATTCCCAAAATCATGGAACATTAACATTAAACATTAAACAATGCATAAAAATATATATATATTTTTTAATAATCTTTTGCTTAGCTGTTGTTCAGAGAGACTGTTGCGTTTCTGTTGGTTATTGGGCAGTGGTTATTGATTTTTAGTGTGTTATGGGAAGGGTTTTGATGGCTAGTCCTCCAGCAAGATGTCCACCTCCTCCATGGGCACTCTCAGACGCAACTCTTTCTCAGTCATAAGGTCTAAAAACTCTTGCACACGTTCAGGAAACAGCTGCACTGCGTCCATGTACAAGCCCTGCAGATACACACACATGCACAAATTGTAAGTGTTAAGTGTGCATACATTTTCACAGTAACAGGCTTCTCATTACCTTGTGCAAGTATAGTGAATCTTACCTTTACCCAGGGCACTGCCTGTAGGGCCTTGTAGAAGATTCCACTGCCCCTCTCTGCATTCCCATCACATACCTGTAGAAAACACACAAGGAAACAGCTCACACTCCCGTACCTGTAGCTATTTCTGAACATTCCTCAAATATAATGTGTTTACAACTTTACCATGAAGTTCAGATACATTCTCCACAGCAGAGGACAATGGGTCCCATGTTCTGTTGCCGTAGCATTTTCAAACAGACAGCGGATACGGTTGCTAAGACCATTATTTGGCAGGGTGGGCAGGGCTTCTCCAGGAAGACGAGACCTTAGGACAAAGATTACATCAGTTACTAAACCAGATTAGTGTTATTACTCAGGTAGCTAACTTTTAACTAACTTAAATTAACTGGCTCTGCAAAAACCTCAACCAACTGTTCTTCCACCATGGGCTGTCGGGTGACCCGAATGAGATCACTGACTGTAAGAGAATATATTAAAAAGGCTGCTATGGTGACCTTTGCTGCAACGCTGAGAATTCAGCACACTTGTGTCACATTTTGTAATGTATTTTGACACATTAGCTATCATGTGTTAGATTGAGCTTTGCCAGAAGTGTTCACACACAAAACTAAACAAGAAACAAAATATGACACATAGTATGATTTCTGTTAATAATCCCACATATATTCAAATCAGTTGCCAGGCCACCGGAATTTCTCCCGGTGCTCCCAATCCGGGCCATTTGCATGCGCAATATAGGCTAGACTCTCAAAATATTAAACTTAAAACGAGATTAAAATATAAAACTTGAATCTCATAATTGCTACGACTTAATTCTCAGAATTTTGACTTTATTCTCAAAATATTACGACTTTAATCTCGTAATCTTAGATAAAAAATACAAAATTTTTTACGTGGCACTAAAACGCTGTCGTAGAAACTTAAATGAAATGACAAGAAAAAAGAAAAAAAAAAGGAACAAAAAAGAGAATAAAGAAAATGTAAAA